CCCCCCCCCCGTTCTTCTGTGTATATAGCTGGATGTTTGTCACTGTGAATCTTCATCTTCATTTTAAAACTTGTTTTCTCCACTTTAAAGTTCTCATTCTGTCATTTTCTTATTGTCATGTTTGCTTGTTTTTTTTTCTTTCATCTTTTTTAATACCAGAGAAAAAAAAAAGAAAAAGAATGAAATTCTGAAAACACTGAAGTCAAACTTATTGTTGGTGCAAGATGTTAATAATGAAAGCTGTTTTCAATTCCATCCTATTTGCAGACATTTACAAAAAAAAAAAAGAAAAGAATAAAGAAAAGAAATCTGCACTGCTCAGTGTGTGCAGGCTGTATATTGTGTTGATGTTCTGCCATTGACTTGTATGATGCCTGCTGTGACTGGCATTGGGAACAGTGGTGTGCTTGCAGTGACTGCATCAACAGCCACCTGCTCGAAATAAACATTATATATAAACACCCTCATAGCCATCCAATTACTGAACACCAAGACCAGCTGGAAACTGCTCAACACCATAGTGTTTCATTAGTTAAAGGTCCCCTGAAATGCTTAGAAACATACAGTGTTACTCTGTGTTGACCTCATTTTAACTGAAACCGGAAAACAGGGCGGGACATATCAAGCAGCCCCGCCCCTTTTAAAATAGCCAATAGCGTTCGTTTATATCACAATTTGGGCTAGAGCCCAGAGTTGCCATGTCCGCGTATTATACGCGACTTTGGGCTTCTTTTTTGTAAAATTGCGTGAAAAAATCCCGGGTTGCGGTTTTTTGGGCTTATTTAAAAAAATATGGTTGCTTGTTAGGAAAACCTGACAAGCAAATTTGTTTCTTTTCATTTATGTTCACTGTATTCTCCAATGCATTGATTGACACTGTCTGCGCACAGTTAATAGCCAATCAGTGCAAAAATATAAGTGCTGTAGCATAATTTGTCAAATATTCCGCCCCCTCCGCACGCAATGAGGGATTGAAGAAAAATCACGTTCAAAAGGAAGGCGCGTGACGCTGTAATCCAAGCGATGATAGTAGTAAACGTAGAGGAGTGGGATGACTTTTTTCCTTTATAAAGTAGCCTAATTTTTTATTTTTACAATGTTTTTGTAATGTATTAATTATCACGGGCTGTAAAACAAAACAAAAACAAAACAAGTAGGCCTATACTAATACTAAGTAGATTTGGTTCAAATAGCCAATATTTTAGTAGGCTATAAATATGTGGCTATGTTACATCTCCCCTTTGAAGCTCTTGTGTTTTTCTCCTTTTCCATCTGTCCAATTCTATTCTGCTCACAGGTGATTGGAGATGAGTTTTGTTCCTGCTTTGTTGCAGTTTGCTGATTTTTGTAAAATAACTTATGTTTTTGCTTTTCAGATAAAAGGGTAGTTTGTTTAATATGTTGCGGGCTCATTTATTGGTAATAAATAATATTGATGAAAATAAATTCTCAAAAAAGATCAAGTACTGCTCACTGCAGAGCCAAATGACCTCCAGCTCCCCCTCTCTGGATGTCCAGCTCCACCTCTGTGTGAACTAATGGGTGGAGTTATGTTTAGAGATAGGGTAAGGGGTAGGGTTAGGGAGTGGTTGGGTGTCTAGCTCCACCATTTACATCCAGCGAGGGGGAGCTAGAGCTCCAGCTCCTCCCATTTGGCTCTGCAGCGAGCACCCTTCTCAAAAATATTGGGCTTGTTTTTGAAGCTGCGGTTGCTTATTTGTCTCGCGAGAGTTGGCAACGGTGCTAGAGCCGTTGAGCTCCGTAAAGCCGCATTTGACAGGGTATGCCAGCCACAATCTAATCCATATTGCTATAAAATATAGCATTCTGTGTAGAATTCAAATAGTTCCGATACATTTTGTGGTCTGCGCCGACTCGCGCATGTGATCCACTCCGTGCTATCGTGTCTCTGGACCGGAACAGAGTGTGTGTACGGTGCGGTGGTTAGCGTGACACAGCGCCAAACCAGACTTTTTTTTTTCCTCAATGGAAAGCATATTTACACTGTTTGAATCGTTCCCTGTCCCCTATATAGTGCACTACGTGCCATTCACTG